AAAATCCATCGTCTTTTCCTGTGACTGGTCCTGGCAACGTTTGGGGGATCGTGACGTAGCTCCGACTGTGAGAATGGTACAGTGGTGCACATCTTAGCAACATAGAATAATCAGATATCAACCCCCCCCCCCCAGGATAATATTAAAATACAACAGGAAACCAATTTCTTTAATTATGTAAATTTAATTCCATGAACAACAGGAAGTGGGTGATTTCTTTCCACCACTGACACAAGTAACAGTGTACCTGGTTGGTCAAGTAAGAAGGTAGTTGGCATTTAAACAATAAATCATCCAATCAAAAGTCCTGTTTCACAGCGCAGACAATCTTTGATGTGATTTTCAAATTTCTTTTGCAATGTCAAAAATTCTTGTAAGCTGTCAAATAAAATAGCAATTTTCTAAATTCTATGATTCTATAAAGACGAAAGCTTGGTTCTGCTGTGTGCCCCTTGCAAATAAAAAAAAAAATTAGTTGTCAGATGCAACTATGTAGCATTCCACTCACTATATGCCTAGGTACAGTGCGAGTATTATCTCATTGCCTATTCAGAGTTATGCAAACGTCTCTCACTGACTGTGGGATGTCAGGAAATAATCGCTTGTTAATTTGGAAGACCGTAAGCTACACACATGGGAACACACCCCACCCCCCCCAAATATGATCTTGTGGTGAATAACACTCACTTTGATGACAATAGTTTACCACAATTCATAATTATTAACAACGTACCTACCGGTAAGCATTAATGGAGTGGGGTACAACAAGTGGAATGCCACATGGATAGCTACAGATCTATCACAAAATATTCAACCTTATTTTCACAGATTACACTGCATCACAGGTGGTGAACTTCCTCATAAAATAGTAAAACATTTGTAAACCAAATACAATTTTCCTGATAACCACTCTATAGACTTAAATAAAAACAATTCTACAAAAGAGTTGGTCAAGCAAGTTTCACTGTACACGCATCCTATTGTTGTATCATATAAGCAAAAACATTGATAACTGAGAACACACAAACAGAACCTGGGCTTCCAACCATCTAGCACAAAACAGCATAAAATACTAAATATCTTCTATGTAAACAATACAAAAAAACTCTAATAATTAAATGTATAAGATAGATAATTTTAGAATCAATGAATGAATGAAACGGTGACTAATACGTCTGTTTTGTAGCATCTAATCAAAGGCAAATAAAAATAAGGGCCTGGTCACATAGAATGAAGAAATCATTGAAATCATGCAGCGAACCACCTGGCATACAGAATGCATTTCAAAAAATTGGATTCTTGAAGTGAATATACAACTGTATATCGTAATATCAAATGTTTTTCACGATTCATGCTGAATATGCTGTAAAAGACGATTTCGCGAAGTGTGATTGTTATCTTCATCAACTCACCCAATCTCATATCAATCATAAATGCCGTTTACGTTATTTGCCGTTACTGATTTACCACCATGTGAGAGTACCCAGAAGTTCAGTTAAAATGGTCGGTAACCCGGTTCAACATTTAGCAAAGAATGCAGGGATTATAGAAAAATTTGAACAAAACAAGTGCCGATGAGAAAATGAAGAATAAATGCAAGACACAAACGACTGCCGAGATCTCATTGAGATGCAAGAACTGCAAGATTTGTGCCCATTAAACAGTGTTCCATTCTCTCATCCATAGTCCTACTTAGATTAGGGAAACAGTCTGCACAAGAGAAAGAAACACTTTTTAAGGGACATTTTCTTGCTCCTAACAAGATATTAGCTAACATTTGCATTTAAAGCCAGGAGAAAATTCTGTATATTTGTCCTAACTACGGTTCAACAAACAAAATTATGATTCAGAGATTAACTGTAGCAAGCACATTTTGGTGACACAATACAAGGAAATTAAAAGTTGATTTTAAGTCCAGAAAGTAGACTGAGCTTGACATAATTCCAGGTACAATATACTACCAATTTTGGAGTAATGTCATACAGATGGTATTAGAGCTGGATGTCCACTAAGGCTATTTAACATGCCAATGAGACACAGAGAAACGCAATTCACATTAATGCTTCAACATACACCAACTTCTAACTAGAATTTTTGTTGAATCCTAAGATGGTAAGCAGAAAATTAAAAACTTAAAATTAGCATGGAGATCTCCTTGTGTGCATGTCTAATCAATACAGTAATAGCAGTCTAAACCTGTGCAAACCAGTTTAAACTGGTTCAAACCTGAGTGAAAGTTCAAACTGGTTCAAACCTGAGTGAAACAGTTTCAAACTGGTTCAAACCAGTGAATCGTTTCAAACTGGTTCAAACCTCTGTAAACCAGTTTAATTGCTGTAAAATTATTTCCAGTAGGTCTTAATCTTTTGGTGCCAGCAGATATAAAAGATTAATGAACACTTGTTTTGCACAATTATCCCAATAATAATGCCAAGCTAAAATGCAATGATCTGAAATATTATGGGATGGCAAATATCTTTGATGTCTACTACAACTTATACAGTAGTATTAATGATGTGATTGGACAGTAAACATTGGTGTTTTTATGTTAATCAATTTTTGTTTGCAATAATCATAAAATATTATGCAAATTAGTATGCGTACCACGCTAGTTTGAATTTCTGGGAAAAATACCGATGTCCTACTGCTCATATAGAAGATATCTTTTTATGATAAAATCTAGTTTGTTTACAGTCGGTTGAACAGATTATTAAAATCCTGCATCGATGATAAAAAGTAACTAAATAGAAGACTTGACAATCCAAAGTAACTTTCTTTCTCTGCTTTTCCGTTTACTGTCAGTTGTACAGATTATTAAAATTCTGCATCGATAATAAAATGAAACTAAATAGAAGACTTGACAATCCAAAGTAACATTCTTTCTCTGCTTTTCATTTTTATGAAGTTCATATATATACGTGTGGACCATAATAACTGATCTTAATAGACCATTTTCCGTTCACTGCGAGATCCTGCGTTATGTGTGAAGTCGAACGTAAACGGGACAAAGGTCATTGCGATGTAGTGAACGGGAAATCTCCTACTGTAAAGGGGTTAAGTATTCACTGGGTTTTAATTTTGCTTATTCCGCTGACTGGAAAATGCGCTAAATTAAAACCCAGTGAATATGGAAAATTTAGAATAGAATACATTATCTAAATGATAAAACCGTGAATTTAAAACCCACTGAATATGCCCGAAATGCTAAATCAGGGAAATTTAAACCCAGTGAAAATTAGTCATTTTACAGTATTTTCATACTAATATACCTGGTAGACACGTAACAAACTCTCACATGGTTGCCATCAACAGAAATTGTCCACGCCATTAGATGGTTAGTAATCATTTTTTGTGTTTCTATTCTATAATTCCTTTTGGTTATTTTAGACCAAACAGAATTTGACATCGCTTGCAAGTTTTGAACAAATTTTATAAGAAAAGATGAATAAATTACTTATTTTGTGAAAAGTGATTGAAACGAACATATAACCCTTTCACCTACAGACTTTTGATCATATTTTTCGTAATTTTTTTCTGATAACAATAATTTTGGACCAAACAGATAGAATATGACAACACTTACTGGTATTTTCTGTAATTTTCTCTAATTTAAGATTAATTTTGAACCAAACTGACAAAATCTGACATTGCTTACTGGTTTTGATCTAAACCTTCGTCAATTTAAAAAAAAAAGGTACAGAAAACTACTTTACAAAACATGACCAGGTCGGTGATAGGGTTAAGAGTAAGTATGAAATCTACATTATTCAAACAAAATGAAAAAAAAGGTGCATTTTCATCATCTATCAGCTTTTTTAAAACAAATTGTGTTGTTTTCTAGAATGTCAAATACATATGAAATATTTTGTACAAATATTTTAATACAATTTTCTTGGTCTTTGCACTAATAGTTTAAGCGAGGCTACAGAAAAAAAAAAAGGTATATAATTTTTTTTGTAATGAGTTTTTTTAAACCTCAAACATTTTTAATACAGATCTTGAAATAAATGTTTCATAGACTGTTTGTTTTTTCTACCAAGTTTGGAATTAAAAATCTTGGCTAATGACACCACACAAAATAGCAGAAACCAAAAAACAAATGTGGACAGCCATCTTGAATATCCAAGGTCAAAGGGCAATGGTATTCATGCTAAAAATAAACAAGTCAAATTTAAAGTTCACATGAAAAGTTGTCACACTCAATAACAAAGGTTCAGAAGGCTGGATGTGGTTTTTTTGGCGAGTATAAAATTAAATAATTTGCATAAACAGTAGCAGTAACTCCAATAAGTTACAGTGCACTTTCGAGTTTATTACAGAATGCGGCGCCCTCTATAGTCTTGTCAAATTGCAGCGCCCTCTATAGTCTTGTCAGAATATGGCTTCTGGGAGTGTTGCAAATACTATAAATTAGTGATTTCCAGAAAACCAGTACTTTGAGTTGACACTTCTCATACAAATTATTTTAAATGCAAAAAAAAACACCTTAAAAGACCATCCAAACCCAGTGACAAAAAGAGTTAAAATCCAAAATGGCCTCATCACCACAATACCACATGACCTTTGATCCCGAAATTCAAAATGGCTGATTGAATTCATTCACACATAAACATGCACTCAATTGTTTGTTCTTTCATTCTTTCAATAATAATAATAATATTAATAGACTATACACTAAACAAAAAACAATAAACTAAATTTTCTGTATCTTCTCGCCCACGACAACAGGATTGTTTTTCCTAATTTGTTCTTGTCCTTCAGCCCGGTAATCAAACGAGCATCCATGTTTATCAGAGTACCGATGTAAACTACAATATAATCCTCCGCAGCGGCATTCGAATCCTGTCAAGAAGAAAAAAATAATGAGTCATTGAATCAAGATGCAATTTGACATTAAAAATATGTATCAAGGTTATTCAACAGACGAACAATATATATTTCCAGTGTTATTGGCCTTGAAACTAGGCACCATCTCAACTCTCAAGTTCAAGCCCCCCATTTTTTCGTAAAATGCGAAACTAGTACAGAGCAATCAAGAAGTGCAAAACCGTATTTTTCTGTAAGTCAGATTTTTAGTAGTGCTACATCATCAGATAAAAATACGAAAATTTGTATTTGGCAAAGTTAGATACATTACATTATTTAAAAGCCCATGTACCGAGTTTACAATGAATCCTAAAATGAATTCTAAAATGAATCCTAAGTATAGCTGTTGTAAACAGCTTTCCAATTAAGTTCTGGTCAAACTGTTTTTCATCAGCAACTGGATACATATTACTATGGATATTACAGCAGTGATTTCAGGCTGAATTATGATAAATACATTTCATCCACAGTCAGCTGGCGCACACGTGATAATAAAATAAATACGATATTTACTATATGGGGGCTGCCATCTTGACGCATAAAACTAAATAAGAAACGTGAAACGACGAAAAAGGCAGAATTTTGTTATCGGTTGGCTTAATATTACTTGTGAAAGATTGGTATTTCTGTCCTGATTTGTAGGAATCTGAAAAATGCGTTTTCACAACTTGTCTCTTATTTAGTTTTATGCGCCATTCAAGATGGCGGCCCCCATATAGTAAATATGGTATTTATTTTATTATCACACGTGCGCCTGGCTGACTGATTTCATCCACAATATTCAAAATACGCAAGTCAGTGTACAAAAATTATGTTTGCACCACCTGATTTGTGGTTTTTCAGAAAAAAGATATCAAGCTAAAAAGTAATTTAGTAATAGTAATTGAACAGTCTGTTACAAATGCCAGCACAAGCAGGTAAGTAAACAAAGGTTATTGTGATATTGTAGTTAACACGTACTACATGCATTACTAATGCAATCTATATTTCTCAATGACTGAACCTACAGTATGGACATACAGTGTAGCCTGACATTTAAAGTGCCTGTGAAATGGCTGCTATTTTCACGCCTAAAATTAACCATTGATACATAAATATTATTAATTATTATGTTTCTAAGCATAAATAATTTTTTTTAAGTGAAAAAATGTGTTTTAAACTCAGTCTACGGAAACTTTTTTTTGTGTATTTTAAAACGAGGCTCCTCATTAGCTTCTCGTTTGCATACAGAAGTTCCCCTTGTGACGTCAGAAGGGGAAGTCGCTGGGCAGCTTGCATTGCCGATACGTGTAAATAAGGCAAATTTCTTGTGCAGTTTTCTAGTCTTTGACTAAATTTCCACTTATGTATTTGTTCTTCGAGGAAAAATGAACCATAATGAACACATAGTATCAAGTTTGTTGCATGGGGTTGAGTCAGATGCGAAATGTGTCCG